CATGCCTTTGACCTCCTTCCTGGGACCCTGGCCCTGAAGTTTCTCTCTTTTGCTTCGCAGACACCATGAGGTGTGCACCTTCTTGAGCCAGATGCTCCCACTACAAAGTGTTCTGTAGCCACAGGCACAAAGCAACAGAACCAAGTGACCATGGACTAAAATCTCTGGAAGCCTGAGCCAAAATGAACTTCTTTCCTTTTAAGTGGATTGTTTCAGATATTTTGTCCATAATGGAAAGCTAATACATGCTTATAGAAGAATTGTGGACTTAAGTCTAACCAGTTTATACCCTCTCCATTGCTACTCCCCTAACCCAAGATCCATAGTCTCTTGCCTCCTCTTAAAGCATCTGCAGTGGACATCTCTGTCCATTATCCACCCAATGAGTGGTGTTTTAATACATATTAGTCAGCTGGTGACATGGCTCAAATGGTAGAATTCATGCCTAGCAAGTGTGAAGCCTTGAGTTCAGAATCCACTACCGCCAAATAAACACATGAACAAATAATTCTACCACTAAGGTGGTTCACGTAATAGAATGCCAGCCTAGTAAGTGAAAAGCTGGGTTCAAACTATAGTACCACTGAAAAAGAAAAAGAGAGGGGGAGGGGAGAAGGAGAAAAAAATATTAAAAAGATAATATACCAGAATCTTTTCTGTGTTTCAAGCCAACCAAAGGCTTCTATGTCATGCTTAGAAGAAAAGCCAACATCCTTCCATGGCACACAGGCCTGGCTGTAGTCCACAGGCTTCCCTCCAACCCCACCTTGCACACACTTGCCCTTGAAATAAATTGTAGCCCATAGTGGCTTTCCTTCCATTCTACAGACAAGACAAGCCCACTGCCATCTTTTGCCCAGAACACTCTTCCCTCCATTGTGCCATGGCTCTTTCTTACATTTAGAACTCAATCCATGTTACCTTTCACAATCTGAAAAAAAGATCTTTTTCTTCTTTTTGTGGTACTGGCATTTGAAACCAGAACTTCATGTTTGCACACAGCCGCTCTACTACCAAGTCATGCCTCCAGACCCACACTCTGGAATTCTTATGTTTGCTTATTGTGTTGTCTGTCTCCCCATCCGACTATCAACAACAGATGGATGTTTCCATGAGAACAGAAACCTTGTCATGAAACTGTACCCATAGTGCCCAGGACAGTGCACAATTAGGCTGGTCAGAATTCATGATCATTGTTCAATCATCATGGGCTTTTTCTCTCAATAAACAGATATTAAAGTATAACTACTATGTTCTAGGAAATTGTAGTTGTCTTAATGAAGTCTTAAAGGAGAGAATAAAGTTCTTGCAACTCATAAACAAGAGCTAATTTATCATATCCTATCCTATCAAACAAGGGCTACTGCAGTTCTTCAAATCTTCAAAACTGGGAGAAGTCTACTGCCTTACTCCGAACAGCTATTCAAACTATGTAACACAAATTATGTTTCTGACCATTTTTAATGTAATATGAACACAATACATATTGTTCTAGAATAGTAATTTTTTCCTAAAAAGACGCAGTCATAATAATACAAGAGAACTTACCTGCCTCTGAGGGCTTTTCATCTACTCTAGTTTAGAAGCCAGGGTGTGTTTGTATGTGAAATTACTACCACACTAGGAAGGCTATTATAGACACCAACTAAATACAAACAAGCAATCTCTCAAGAGGTTTCAGATAAAATATTACCTCTACTAGCACAATAATAAAAGCTTCAAAAGAAAAAAAAAAGCTGAGTTGGGCTTTATCAATGATGTAAGGTGAGTAGCCTACAGATAATATAATAAGGGACACCAGGTAACTTGGGAATAAGTAAGCAGGCCAGACTGGATAAATGGGAGGCTGTAGGTAGCAGGGAGCACTCCTCTGTTCCTGGAAGTCCAAAATGAGCCCCTAAATTCTGTGTCTTTCCAATGTCCAGGGGTAGCTCAGACTCTTCCTACTATGTCCCAAAAGTTGTCATTTATTCTCCATTCTCACAACCACAAAGCAATCCAAGCTCTCATCCCTGCCCTCTGCAAAGATCTTCAATTTCATTATGTTTCATTGTGTTCTATTCTGCAGTGCTGGGGATGGAATCTGGGAGCTTGCATATGCTAGGCAAGCACCTTACCCCTGAGTTTATCCTCAACACTTGATTTTTTGAGACAAGGTCTTGCTATGTCAATCAGGCTGGCCTGAAACTTTCGTTCACCTTGCCTCTGATTGCTAGGATTATAGATGTGTGATACCATACCTGGTTTCAAACACATTTTTCCTGTGTTCAATTCCTCACTACCACCCCCCAACCCTTTCCAATCATGATATACATTTACCAAATTCATTACTTTATATGCATAACCTATTCAGGCCAAAAGCTATAAACCAAACAATAGCTGGACACTGCTGCAAAATAGTTATTGTCTTTTTTCTTTTCTCTAGTGACATCTCACTCTACCATAGAATTCTACTCCCTAAACATAAAATACAAGTTTCATGTCTATGCCCATGTTGCTCCTTTTCCTGAGAAAAGACTCCTGATTTTTTTCCCTCAAAGCTAGACCCACATGATTGTGTAGGTTGCATAAACTAGCTTATATAAGTGACACCCCCAGCCAGTGATGGACAGTGAACAGCCAATACAACCTCCCAATGATTGCTTATTTCCATCTCTCCCCACCCCCACACATATACCCTGAAGGCTTTCTCAGTACAATTCAACTCTTAGAGATCAATTGTGCCTCAAAATCTCACATCAATTGTTCTCTACAAGAAGTTATAATACTCAGAACTGTTAACAGGGCCTTGAACATAACAGATACTTAAAAGATGGTTGCAAATGACAATGGGCAAAACCAAGACCTGAGTGTTGGGGTGCTGGCCAGAGCAAGTTAATAATTAAATTGCAAAATACCTTGAAGGCTAAGTAAGGAGTTTTGGCTTTCTTTGGTAGATCCCCAGTCAAACAATCAGAATGTTTCAGAAAGATTAATTCAGCAACAACAAACTGGCAGGGGGTGAGAGACTTAGGGTCTGTTTTAGGAAGATAGTAAGGTGCTTCCTCTGTAATATGTGGCCTAAGTAGTACTTAGCCAGTCTTTAGTTCATCTGTTTGGGACTACAGATACTGGTTTTCATATACTGAAACTCAGAGGGGAAACTGAAAACTGGGCCATTAAGCCAAGAAAAACATGTATTTGCTGAAATATCTGGGTATCTAGGAAACAGTCTGACTTGAATAATTATATACATACATAGATATGTATACACAGATTAAGCATTACTCTCATCTTCCTCCTTCACTTCTACAGTCTCCCTCTTCTCCACCTCCCACTTCTCCCTAGAATTATTATTCAGCTCTCTCACTTCCTTCCAAGGGCTTTACATTAGTGATTTCCAGGCTGCTCATTCTCCCCAAGCCCCTCTTCCTCAGTTTTTGTTTATACACTGGTTTAGCCAACCTCCTCCCTCAATATCTAATCCAGTAAGTCAATTCTCCTGTTCTTTTTCCTTAGGCAGTTCAAACCTTCTCTAGCCTTACAATTCTAGTTACTAGTGAATCATTTCAAGACTAGTCATCTGTGGCTCATTTTTCTATGACTACTTCAGAAAAAAAAACAAAGACATTTATTTATTTAGGTATACAAATTAAGTTCATTGTAATTTTGGAGTACCAAGTAAGTAATTCTTATCTGTAAATTGAAAACAGACCCTAATACACTGAACAAAATGAGTTTCTTAATTTATTTCTTTTCAAAGCATATATCTTGGATTTCATGCCAAGATGGCAGAGCAGTATTAGGCTCTGAGGTCCTAGACAATTTTATTTACTTTGTAGATTTATATAGAAATCTTTACACCCCACAGGAAGAATATTACGTAGAAGGAACCCACTGTAATATCAGAAACACAATTTCTAACACACTCATGCCTATCAGAAGAAGATTACAAAGTACGTACAACCTTGAATTTAAAAAGTGAGTGCAGGGGGGAATTAAACGTGAATTGAGGGGGAATCTTAACACCATTATCAAGCAAAAGTAAAAGAGAATATACAAGTTGATTTTTGTGTCCAAAATGGCTGTCTCCCTTAAAAAGTCCAACTTTAGTCTGCTGATTCCTCCCACCAAATATGCAAAATAAACTCACTTGTACTAAAAAGAGAAGTGTTACCACCATTAAGAGAACTAGGCATGATCTTAGGGAAGATTAAAACATTTTCCTTATATTCTAGTCGAAAAAAAAAATACATCAACTTCTCAAATACTGTTTCTGTATTCGAGCAGTTTCGATTTTTCCTCCCTCCAAGGACATGGTTTCTTGTTGACGTTTTTTTCCCCCTTCCCCATACTGAAAGACCCTCTGAATGTCGCAGTGTAAATCTCTGGCACCAAACGGTGGTCAGGAACTTTCCTAACTCCATTCCTTTATAGGAAGAGAAAGAAAAGAGCACAGACATCCATTATTCAAAAATCTATCGTTAAATTAGCCTCCTTTACTATACGCAATTCCATTACAGCACACATTATGCCGGGGGCAGGGTGTGTAGAATGTGTGGGCAGTGCCCTGCGGGGCCACATTTCACCAGAACAACACTTCATCTTTTCTACCATCACCAGATATTGGTACAAATTTCAAACTGCTCTTCGCTCTAGGTGAAATGACTGCAATCCTAGTAATAAAAGTTGAGAGAAATCTAACTAGTAAACAGCCATTTGCTCCCGAAGCCAACTCCAAAGATGGGGAGGTTGGTACATCTCTGCCTGCCCCTTCCCCAAGCCTGGGTGTTTCACCCTCCAGATGTGCATCTGACCCCTAGGCCAGAAGGACTTTATGGCTGGGAAACTGAGCTTGGGGAGGGGACCGACGCGCCCCTCGGTGAGCACGCTGGGGGATCCCATTGGGCACCAAGTCAGCCTGGCAGACAGGAACGGAGACGGGACGGATGGACGCACGGACGGGACGGACGGACGCAACAGGACGGACTGGAACGGGCAGAGAAGCAAGTGCGTCCTACCCGGAGGGCTCCCTCCCAGGGACGGCGGAGTACCTGCTCCGGTCATCCAGGCTGCGGTTGTCGGCGGCCGCGGCGCGCCAGTCGGGTAGCGTGCTGGCGCACAGCACCACCATGGACACGATTACGAACACCACGGACACGCTGGCCAGGATCTGCGCGGCCAGCGACGACGTGGGCTCCTCGAAGGTCCGCCGCATGCGCTCCAGCCAGCGCCTCGAGGGAGCCACCTCGGCCCCGGCGGGGCGCGCCTCATCGCGGCCCAGCGCGCCCGGCTCGTCGGCCGAGTAGAAGGTGTAGGTGTCGGACATGCGGTCGTCGAGGCGGCGCTGGCAGCAATACTCGAGGTGCGTGCCCTCCAGGCCCCAGTAGATCATCTCGTTGTAGAAGGAGAGCTCGCACATCCGCGGCGCGAAGCGCAGCTTGCCGTGGCCTCGCACGTACAGCAGGATGAAGCCGAAGGCCTCCGAGTGCCGGTCGAAGAAGTACTCGTTGCGCTCGCGGTCGTAGTCGTCGCACACCTCGAGCACGTCGCGCTCGGAGCGGCAGCCGTGCAGCCGGCTCACGCGGCGCAGCGGGAAGTCCTTCAGCAGCTCCCGGGCGAGCGAGTACCGGGCGCCGCCCACGTTCAGCACCACCGAGGCCGCCCCGCTGCGCCCGAAAGTCATGGCTGGCCGCCCCGGGGCCCCGTGGACCCGAGG